ACAAACAGAAGCCAGCCGACTAGACTTTAAATACATTTCCTACTTGTTTCCCCAGCTTTTCTTTCACCACTTTCCACTCTCATCTAACGGAAATACTACAGATTCTTTCACTACTGGTGAGAGCAAAACAAATTTTTCCACTCAATTCATTACACGTGTTGTAAATAAATCTGGTACCCAGCACCATTCCTCCTGCTGACAGCAAGGGGAAGGAACACTGTCAACACAGCTCACAGAAATTTGACTTCATACTGCAGCCTTTCAGACACCAAATCATTGCCTCCCTTCACGGGAAGTAACCTACCCTGGCAAGGGTAGAGACTGTGATGAGACACGCTTCTTGCACCCAAGCTTAACTCAGGGAAAAGCGAGTCAGTACAAAGCTGTATGCATATTTTATCCATTCGATATTTGTCCCCGAAGACAATCTCAAATGTGGATGGAACTCAGAAACGTTCAGCTTTAGGGGCTGAGACTCAGTCGCAGATTTTCCTCCTGGACTTATCATGTTCTCTGCCATATTCAAACCACTTCTCAAATGTGCAAGTCAAAAACATGGCTTGAGACGCATGGGTCCAGGAAATCTCCAGTTCATGCACACGTAACTAGAAACTTATCTTTTCTGTAACTCTGATGCAGAGCAGTCTTGTGAGTTTGCTGCAAGGTGTCTCCTCACTTTGTGGCAACGTGCATCTTCTTCTTTTCAAAGAAAAGGCCTGAAAATTGTGCTTCCAACAGACCCATCACTGAGCCGGTGTTCGGTCAGTTGCTCTCTAACCCATTCTGGTCAAAATGATTTAACACAGCTCAAACCAGCCTAAAAAAAAGCCTGGTTTACATTAACTAAAGTGCCTTAGAGCTCACAAAAAGCAGCTGAGCAAACAGATGACAGCGGGGCTGTGGGGAGGAGAGCAGTGGACACAGTGCCCACCTTTGCAGCGGGCACCGCCACACTGCGAGGACGGCAGAACAGTTGGGGTCACCCAGCAGTACACCCAGAATTCATTCCAGGCGGGTACTAGAAGCTACACCAAAACCAACCGCCTTCCAAGGCATACTTCAGACTTTCAGTATTTTGAATTCCCTGGGCATTTCTCAAAAAGTCCCTTCATACTGTATCAAAGGATAACCGGGTTTAATAAAGGGTTGATTCAAAGATGTTTCACAGATAAATGTGCAAAGAATGTTACTAACGACAAAAACAGGTATTCTTCTATGATTCTTTCTTTTGTCCTCCTCAAAAATGCAAGCTACATAAAAAAGATACTTTCTTTTCCCCAAATCCACCTAAAATTTAAATGATTTCTCAACTAAAAACACTTTCAGTACCATTATTTACTTTAGTCAGTAGTGAAATACTAATTTTTCCAGTATTCTTAGGACCTGTATTGCATAGCTTTTGCATAGTCATAGAACATTCATTTTCCATCATCCTCTGAATAAAATGAAAGTCTCATAACTCTAGCTCCCAGACACACATTATAGACAAAGACACTGAGGCAACAAATTTGTGGAATACGCTTCTGGGCCCTTAAAGTACCTTTCTAGTTGAGTACTCCCTTCTAGCTAAAGCCATTTTTCCAGATTCAGTCCCTCTGCAACACATATAGGGAAACTAAATCAAGTAATTTTGTTAAACCAAATATTAGAAAGCTTCCCTAACTTTTTTTTTTTTTTTTTTCAAATGACACAGGGTAGCCTGCTCAACAGACTACCTCCAGGTCTGTGAAACAGATGGTATCTTTAAACTTCACCAACAGGATCTGAGTAAACTCCATCAGTTTAAGGTAACATCTGAATTCAAGATGGTGCCAAATATAACAAAAAAATACAATCTCCCACGGCTGATCACTTCATATGCTTGTATGCAGTCGGAAATAAGACGTCTTCAATTATCTCCCATTTACCTTAAGCAAATCCACAAGCACCACCACAAAACGTACGTATTCCTTGCCAGCTGAGTACAGCACACACCTCAACGTGACACACGTTGCGGTACCCTTCCCTTTAATGACAAAGGTCCACAACTTCGTCCTCACTGTCATGGAGGAACGAGTATTCTGGTAATCAGCCCAACACAGTGGACGCGTGGCAGCTTGCTGCCACTGGTGCCACATCAAGGAGAAAAGCATGTTAGCTTCTAGGTTTTTAGATCCTTGCTAAAGAACATAGAAAAGCTGGTGTTGGAGCACAGTAACACTTAATGAGCAGTCTTTTTATTCTGTGTACAATTTAAGCTTTCAGATGGATGAAGCGGGTTGTTTTAACTACCTGCAAATTTCCGTCAATCTGGACCTGGCACTGCAGGGAAATCTCAGTTGAGGCACCAACAGGAACGCCATTTCACTTCAACTGTCCTAACACTGTCAGATAAAGCCATCCTATGCACACTTGCGGAGAGATTTGCAAATGTCTCACTGAATTACCATCATGAAACGTTGATAGATGGAAAAAAAGACTGGCCATCTTAGTACAACCTCTCGTATGCTACTCAAATCTACAAACAAAAAAATCCAGGTGCTTCAAGAAAGAGATGCTGAAAAATACATCAGGCAAGGGAATTAAATACCCCCAAAACTGAATTCTTCTATGAACTTCTGCCAGACTAATTTCTAAGAATGCCATAGGAAGCTTAAATTAAGCAAAATCATGGAGCTATTAGGTGGGAAGAGATGACAATTTTTCTAGTCTAGAAGAAAATGATACAGTGACCAGATAACAGTTACTCAAACTATTCACCCCTTCACCAAATTACAGTAGTGCAGAAATATAATTACTCTCTACAGTGACTTCTCAAAGGAAAGTAGAAATTAGAACCAAGTAGAAAAATCAGAAATGCACCTTTCCAAAATGTATTCTGTGTAATCTTTAATATATTTTAATATTCAAGCATTAAAATAAATCCTTTATTTTTTTTTTTGTGCCGGGCATATAAGAAAAATTCAGCACAAAAGAATTGGCAGAACATTTTCTAAATCTTCACAACCAAATACAAAAGTCACTTACTTTGGCTTAGATAAGGAGCAAAGAGTGCTCTCAAGGTCACTTTCACCCCCCAAGTGACCTGGCTGTGTATCCTACATTAAGGCTATAATCTCAGACTTATCTATGACTGACTTAGCTTAATTGCATCATATCATTAATATTATTAATTTCTGCCGTTGCCCATAAGATTCAAAGCCTCTTGTCCATTCTGTAGAATATACAGGAACTAAATTAAATGCAGCGCACAGTGAGTTGTACAAAAGTATCATAAAGTGCTACAAAGCATGGAAGCATTTAAAAAGGCAGAGGACCTGTCTTGATTCTTTTGGCCCAAGAAACCAGGTAAGAAAAACGTGCTGGGTTTTCTGCATGCCCAGCATTTGCTGGCTTCCAAAACGCTTTGAGTCAAAGCAGAGCTATATTGCATTTGAACAGCTATCACCGAGAATGCATTTTTCAAATATTCTTCCCCAACTTCTAAAGCGCAGAGCTAGCTAGCAAGTTTCTGTACCAGTAACCTACCGCAAGCCACAGACCTGCTCAGGAAGGCAGTCCCAAGACCGGTACGGAATAAAACGCAAGGCGAAGCTCAAGTTACAAGCAGCAGGTACCAGTGCAAAGCGAGCACCGAGTATGTTCTCAGGAGAGTATCGCCCCTCCCGATATGTTCGTTCAGAAGGTGCAGAATTTGTTTGTGCTCAGTTTTACATAGATATGGTTAAACACAGCTGTGAGAAAGCAGAAATGCTGCGGATGCCAGTATAAACCTTCTTTCATACTTCACTTCCTAAAGAGGAACAGAGGAAGACTTTCGCTGGCCAATACTGAGCAACTCTTGTTGTTCTTTCTTCATATATATGATTTTTTTAAACTTAACTGACCTTCTCTAGCTCTTCTACACCAGAAACATAGCCGTATCTCAGAAGTTCCAGGCCAGACACATAAAATGTATCATCTTAAATATATATGCCTGGAGTACTAAAATTTGTCGAACTTCCATACGTTTTGTTGATAGAGAATTAAGAACTCTGCTAACATTCCTTTACCTAACATTTCCTTGCACCAGAATAGTTACGATACCACGTAAAACAATACTTTTTGAGTGTCACAAAGGTTTTGCCTATATATAAGCCTTCCTTTATGACTGTTCAGTGATTAAATGTGTCCTGTCTGACATATTTTTAAGAAAAACTTTCTAGTACCACAATCCATTGTAAAACAAGTCAGTTAAGCTCTTACAAGGATACTACATATTTGCACCACTCTTACACACCACTAAATTCTAGCTGAAGAATTTTAAACCAATATTAAGATCCAATTAATAAAAAAGACACATTTCCTCAAGAAATGGAAGAAAGGTGAAGAAGCCGAACTTCTGCCCTTTTTCTTGCCTGCTCCTTAAGAAGTCTACTTTATCTGCACATGTTACGTACATAAGATGTTTTCAAAACAACATTATCAACATTGCAGTATTGCTTCTATTAAAAACAGCTTTCAGCAGTAAGCAAGACAGTTATACACACAATAAATCAGAGTATTACTAAATAAGTATCTCAGCTTTTATCTTCTGTCAAGCTCCTTGAAAACAACAGTATATTTAAGGATTCTGAGAAATACTTTTTATATGTCCTTTTTAAGGAAGGCCGAAGTAGTAGTATTGCAGGTAATTTTCATATGTGATTAGCGCCTCTGTGACCTTTGTCCTCCTTTAGAAAATTACATGGCATTGACTACATTTATTATTGAGCATATACAGCAGCTTTTAACTTTGCTCAAGATGTATTACATAAGCAAACTCCTCATTTGAATAATTACAAAATTATAAGCAGTTTTAATTAGAAGTCAGAGTAACACATAGAAGAATCTCTATAACAGAATGGGGGCGAGGGGTGTTTTGGGTTGGTTTCATTTTTTTTTAACACAGGGCACAAAACCCAGCAGAGTCTTTAACTGATCACACAGTGAAGCTCTTGTGAAAAGTTATCTGGAGCTCTTTCTCTCTGAAAATTACTTACCTTGAACTGTAAGCTCTGCTTGAGCTTCAATCGTCTCGTTTCCATTATCCGCTATGCAGGTGTACGTCCCAACGTCCTCTTCCGTAACATCACTGATCTCCAGACTACCTCCCGCCAGGAGAAGAAATCTTTCATAGCTGTGCAAAACAGGACATACGGGTGACTTCATGGACAAATTGGCTCAAATAAAGTGTTACCAGAGAAGCACACTCAAGTCCTCTGCCTGAAAAGTCTACATAAACCAACACAGCGTTTACTTGTAACGTTCCTGGGTGCCATTTACAAGGAGTCACGTTAGAGAGAGAAACTTTTAACTAGATGATCAAATTCCATACTTGGGCTTCACATTAAAATTTAGTTCAAATATATCAATTCCACAGGAGTAGCATCTTTCTGCACTTTCAGCTTCACTTGTTCTTAATTAAATGTGATCCTAGGTATCTAGACAATAGCAACTAGAACTTAAGAAAAATGAAATAACATAACCACGTCATTAAAAATCTTGCAGATACAGCTGGAATGGCTTACTGCTTGAAAAGCTAAGTGAACCATAATATGCCAGACTTATGCCTGTAAAACATAAGGAACAGTAATGTACATTATATAATGCAGAGCAACTGAAATTTTGTATAAAGATAGACATTCAGTAAAGTGCAGGATTTCAGACTAAGATATAGGTTAGAAAAAATTCAAGAGAAATTCAAAAAGTCAGCAAAGCTTCTGCACAGAATTTTCTCCCTCTGACTTGCAAAGGGTGGGGAGAGGGTTTATAATTCAGGTCTTCTAAACTATCTGCTTTTAATGCTAAATGTAGTAGCTATATGTAGCATTTTATACTACATGTAGTACTCTCAGCACCCTTCTCCCATTGCAACCATCATTCTCCTTCTTATGATACCAGTTCACACAAGAGTTTTCCAAGATTCTTCATCGCTCCAAGCATCCACAACCAAATGCCAATAACACTACCACAACCCAAAGCCAAGACAACAAGTCATGACTGGGTGCTGATCCAGAACCATTCTTGTTTGCAGCTGAAAAATGAGTCTACCCGATGGCTTCCTTCCTGGCTTTATCAAGCAATGGCTTAGGGGGCAGGACTGAATTGAAATCTTTCCAAATAATTGAATAGAACCTTACAACAATTATCTATTTTGGTCTCTACAGTGTGGCCAATGTACAAAAATCAACCTAATTGCGCTCTCCATTTGAAATTTTACTAGAATTACATTAGTAGAACCAATGCTTTTACCAGCTTGGAAAGGTAAATTCTTAGGAAGGACACAAAGACTTTTGACTCACCTAATTACCACATTAATATTGATTTATGTTACTACTATAATTGTTTATCAAAGTTCTGCTTAAGCACATTCTAAAACTGAACAAATAAAATTATTATTGGAATGAAAGAAACCAGTCTTAGAAACATCAAAGGAGATTTCCTACCCAGGTCCACCATAAGGAAAGGCACCGTTTCCATGACCTAGTAACCGGAGAATTACAAAAAGTTTGTTTTGTAGGAAGTGCAGTGAATTTGAGTGAAGATACAAGCAAGTTTGAAAAAACATATGAGGAGCTTTAAAAAGAGGAATGCTTGAAGAAATAGTAGAGGAGTATGTGGACAGCATTGCGAACAGGTTCTAGCTAAGAGGAAAACAGCAATAAGTTCGTCATTAAACCTGTTTTGGAATCACTCAACAGTGATTCAAGGACAGAAGGTGAGAGATGAGAGACATAACTTGGATTATTTTCATAGAATTTTATGGTCATTGCAATCAAAAAAAGGCAGAAGCCTCCTATCATGGATCAGATTAAAAATTATGTAGAAAAAAATAGGAGCTTTAGTGGTAATCAAAGATAGTGAAGGATGATCCATCTCCTTTCTCAAGCAATAAAAATCTGTACAAAGTAGATGTGAACAGGAGCTGCCAAGACTGTATCACTGGCCCCCCCCCTTCCTTTGTTCTATTTACGTGTAGTCTATACAGGTATATTGATTAGATCTAAACCACTAAGTCTGTTGAAGTTCGCACAAAGAAGATGAACCTAGACATCTTGGACTACGTCACCTCCAAGGCAAATCTGACCACCTACGCAAGTTCTAAGACCATCTAAAAAGATGTAAGAAAATGATGCTCTTCCCAATTCTTGAACCTCCTTGTCTACATCTGGACATCGACAGTCCACGAACACAGAAGAGCTTCCCAAACACTGTCAAGGTGAACAGAAACAATGTCACTGAAGCTTATTTGTGAGAATGGCATGTGAGACATGTTAACGCTGCATTGAAATCATGCCTAAAGAAAAATAAATAAGACACGTCTGGACCTTGACACATCCACACATGCAGTTTTATCTTCTTTTATTATGTAAAACAGCTTATTTGATATTTGATCTAGCATTTATGGTGAATTTAATTGATCTGAGTAGTGTATAATCCGCTGAAGGCTAAGATGAAAGCAAGAAATGGAGCCAACTGGTAACTGTGCTACATCTACCAGTGACAGGATACAAAACAGGAAGGCAGGCTGTGCAGCAAGAACTGACTGAATGCAAGAAGCTCAGGCTAACAAAATTGCAAAGGAATGATAAAAAGCTATACAGAATGTTAGTGTCATTTCAATGACATATAGTGCCTTTTTCCGGATATCCACCAACTTCCATCGTTATCCACGTGAAAACAAACACATGCCTTACGATGCTCATTTTCCCACAGCCAGCCTGTGGAACAGTGAAGCAGCACGGGCATGGCGAGGCCGCAGACTATCGTGGTTATTAACCAGCAAGTAAGATGTTACTAAAACTATAACAAAAAAATTACTAGACCGTGTCACATTAGGCAACAAGAGTTTGTTATGTAGGATCTCAAAAGCTACTTGCAACATGGTAGCAGTTACATGAATTTTCCTTTTCGTCAAGAAACAAGGGTATATAGTTTTCAGCCACCTAAATTGCATGCTATACTTCTATTATCTTTGACTAATTTCCTCAAGAAATCCTGCGGTGGAGTCCAGAGTTTACCAGGATGTAAACCAACACAAGTTCACCATTGTTAAAAACGTGGAAGAAAACAACCAATCTGTCCAACTCCCTGGTGATTCCTTCTGTATGCATTAGCTGCGGAAGAATTCTGGGCTTAAAGCAAAATTGCTTTTGTAATAAAGTAAAAATATCTTAATTTTGTAAGGACAACAAAACATTTCCACAAAAGAATGAAGCAATTGGATTTCAGACACTGGAGACAAAGAATCAGCTTAATATAAAAGTGGTAACATAATTTAAAGTGTCATTAAAACCAAAAAAGATTGATCATTCAAATGTCAGAGAACAGCAAAATCAAATTCAAGCCTTTTACATGCATTCCATACAGCCCTCAGTTACACACTCGTAAGATACAATTACTTGAGCTACTTTGGATACCTAACTCTCATGCTTTTTTTATGTTCATTATCACACAATACAGTGAGCCTTTATTAATTTACTCTATTCAAACCGCCAGTTATACCCTGAGGTTTTAGTGCCTTTTTTCCCTTCTTTTAAATTACTATTCCCAAAACATCTCATAATCTATTTGCAGTCTTGGTAAAGTACAGCAGATAAAATTAGACAGTAAATTAGATTATTTTGCGGAATCTACTACCAGAAAAATCTCCATAATTACTTCGCTATGTTTAACCTTTACTAAGTTGGGCAAGTGTAATTCACTTAATATGGATCACTCGGAATGCCTGGCAAACAATAATCTGTAGTAATTTAAAATATCACACATTCGTGTGAGGTATTAAGGAAAAAATCCTCAATTAAGAATACGCATGTGATTGCACAATTAAAGACTTCATTTAAACGCATACAGTAACAATCTAAAATTAATGTTGCACATGCAGCCTCAGCTTTGTAATCTTCCCCCGTTAGAAAACGACCAACCATACAACCATGTTGTAGTTTTCTGTAGGCACTTCTCTGTGACATGAAATTTTGCTCAACTGAACAGCCCAATATCACCCAAGAATTAGCTGTACTTCAACAGCCTTATTGAAACAATATCACTGCTCAGGTCCTTTCACCTGTTTCTTTTCAGATTAACAGTCTTGTTTACTGCAACTTTTTAAAGAATTTCTTGCAGTACACGCATTTGTATTTTCTTCCCCATAAACACCCTAATCTAAATTCAGTTACACAATATATGCTGCTTGAGCACACGCTGATCCACACGCTGGAAAGATTTCAAAGCAGAACATCATCTTCCAAACACTGGAAACTCAGTGCCCATCTCCCAAGCTCTGAATATCGGTCCTGGCAGCCATCTCACCTGAAATTTCCCTTTTCAACTTCAGAATCATTGAAAGCACAAAATTACTTTTGCATTTGCTAACAAATAGACCTTCATGCAGTAGGACTTTATAAAGATTTCTGTAAAGGACGTAAGATTTATTCAAATAGCTTTACACTTCAGTGGCTTCTCCTGATGCCTTCCATTTGTCTCTGCATTCTGCACATTCCTGGTAGAGATAGTACTCCCTCTGAGTTTACAGAGGAAATCCAGCTGAAGAAGTAGAATGCAGACCGGCACTGCTGACCCCGGCGTACGACAGGGCGGGTGTGCACTGGCAGGGCTGATGCTGAAGCACTACGAGCAGTATAGCCTGCGTCACAAGATTCTACACCTACGAACACACATGGGGTCTAGATGCTTGCTTCACGTTTTGCAGCTCCAGTTTGGAGCTCTCAGCACCATAAATCTCAGCCTACAATAGCGCTTAGCCTTTTCCTTTCTTTTCAAGCAATGTAGTTTTGAAAAAATTATTACATGTCATGCAGATTATTAGGCTTGATGAGTAAGCCAGTTCAATGAAAAGCTTTCACCACAAGTCAAATAGTTTTCCCAGTGACAGGTTATCAGGTCCAATTTTCAACTTTGTGATTTCTTCTCTCTGGATTTGCGAACACACCAAGAAAGGCCTCCGAGGAGCAGACCACAGCCAGTCAGCCATGCCTAGAGAAGGGCACACGGGTGGTGCGAGCTTACAGACACCCTTCCTCTGAACAAGCTGGGCACAACCTGGGAACTTCATAGACTTCTTTAGGAGGAACCAAAACGTCAGCAGTATAATTATCACATATTCCTTTAAAATCTTCAAGTTCACAAGTTCCGAAAGGATTCCCTGGAGTTCTAACAGTTTTACTACATTGGAAACTTTCAGCACTGCATTAACTTCACCAGTTTCTCACTCAACGCTCAAAGTTTCCTTCTCTCTCACTCAAATGAGTTTGGAAAATGCTTTATCATAGCAAACTAATTTCACAATATATTGCATGACAGGCAGCTTGTTTGAACAAGTGCCAAGACTGCCATCATTAAAGTTTACTCATATTTATCCATTAACAAATCTTTTTGCAGTCTTCGGCAAATATTCCACTGAAATTAAACACCTTCCTTTTTTTCACGTCTTACAACAAATATTTAATTCCAAAACGCCACCACTTCCAATCCTTAAAAATAATCTAGTTTTCCTATAAATATAGGCTCCTATACATATGCTCCTTAGCAATACAGATTTAAAGGAAAATATTTCATCTTTTATTAGATGAATTGCCACAGTTAAAAAGACAAAAGTAAAAATAATGTTCTGTGCCTAAACCACTTAACAAGGGGTAAAAATTCGGTAAATACCTGACCATGCTATGAAGTTTCCTAACCCCGTAAACACACAGACACGTATCATCATATATGTATATATCTATGTTAACGTCTGTAACATGTGTGTATAGACAAATCCCACGATTTAAGAGCCTCACCCAGGTAGAAGGTACATTAAAACCTGTCCAGGTGAAAAGGATCATTTTTTTCTTGGAATAAAGTAAAGCCATGCTAATAAGAAAAGTCTTACTTTTATATCAAAAGGGGATTTTAATAGAAATTAAAAGTTATTTAATTTGTAGTTAAATTAACAGAACATGCATAACAAGCTAAGGTACCTATTTTGCAGCAGTCTAACTGCAGGCTTTACTTCCACAAAGAATCTTAATTTTGAGTTCTAGAGATTTTCCAGTTATTCTATTCAAAAGAATAATACAACAGCTGTCAAGGCAAATGGAGTGCAAGAACTTTTTGCTGTCTGCTGTTTGAATCTCTTCTCTGTTAAGCCATAGTCATGTAGTAGACTTAACAGTTCTGGCACAGTTTGATCGCTTCAATGAACTACTAAAGGAAGTTTACTCCTACAGAGTGAAAAAACCCACAATTTTCTCCTTTACCTACCTTAAATGTAAAACCTATAATGAGCACACAGTTCACTGCAAGAAAAAAAATGCTAAGTGTTGTATCAAGAAAAAAAAAAAAATTAAAAATCAATTTCATCAGCCAGGTGACTCTCCTCACTCATCTTCAGCCAGATCACAAAGGTTGTGTAGCACAGCAAGTCAAAAGAAATACAATTCTCATTGTTCAAAACCCTTATCTACTCTTTCTTGGTTCTACCGTTGAGCAAGAGGAAACATTTGTTTCAAGTGGAAGCGGAATATTTCTTTCTCTTTGCAACTTTATCCTCCTTAATGAATACTCCTCCAGAGGACGCGACAACCAGCAGGTTCCAAGAACATACCAGCAGCTGCAGTTTTCAGTTTGGCGAGAGGCTTTCCCTGGGCTTGGCAGAGAACGCGCACAGCTCATTTGCTGCAGGAACAGGGAAATGTTTAGTATAAGGGTGTTTGGGAAAGCGGACAGCCTTGTGGCTCCCGCCTCGCCACACAGTGTCCATGCGACAATGGAAAGATGCCCAAGCAAAAGCAGCGTCAAGCAAAGAGCTGATGACAGCACAGGGGAAGCACTCTTCTGACAGCCCACGCTGACCACTGGACACAGGCTTCACAGGGGGATCTGTACTTGCAGCACAAGTCAGCCAGAACCCATTCTTGTAAGACAGGGACACAACACTAAAAACTAACGCTAAATATTCTGGAAAATCAGGTCATCCATGGTTCAGATTGTGCACCTAAAGAGATCAAATATGTTTACGAATGTTATGCCACAGCTTTCCAATAAAATTTCTCACTTTGAATTTTGGAAAGTAAAAAGTATTTGTGAAGCCCCCAGGTTATCATGACCACCTGCACAGAAAAGCTCGTAACGAATTAACAGCACTGTATTCAGAGCAGGATTTTAAAATTTGGGCTCTATATCAAAAAAAACGAGGAGAAAATGAAAAGGAGAGCCCTTTAGTAAATGAGCTTTAACCTCCTTGTGCACCGAATGTGGCATAGCCTAGAGAAAAGGGGGGCAGCAAAAATTTATAAAGATATGACATGACTTCATTTTACATGCAAGAAAAAGAAATTAAGATCTTACCAGGCACATTTATTCTGACATTTCATCACACCTGATTGTGTAACTCTAATGAGGCTGTACCATTCTTCTTACATAAATGATTTCCTATACTTACAAACATGAATTAAATCATGTGCCATCAGATTGGCACCAGCACAATTTCTCAGTGGCATCAGCACTGTTAGTCAGTACCCACAGCAGCTTGCATTTTCCAGATAAAGACAGATCAAATTACAAGCCCTGGATTTCTTAATTTTACAGTTGCCAAAAAGATATATATTACTATTACTGATACTGTAGCAACACTTGCACATTCCTTTAGCTGTTCCCTATCTCAGCCATACCATAATACAACTTTACCCCTTGTTGTTTCACGATTAACTTGTTTCTACATTAATCTTACCATTGACTTTGAGGGACACTGAGAACATTCAAGTGTAATTTCCTTGTTCTAGCAAGTATGTTCATTAGATACACAAAAAGATAGCTTTCCTTCACAAGATTTGTTCTGCTTTTTTATACGTATTTTCTACTATGTTCTTTGGAATGAATACACCAGCAATGTCAGGGTATAATAGAGTTGTTTTCATTTACGGCGTTTTTTAAATAATGCCTAATACTTTAATACTCTGTTTTAATGAGAAATTATGGAATTCTGCTTTAAACACTTATTCTTAAATTCTTACAGAACATTCAGGACACACTGGACATCTTCATAGCAGAAACTAACGCGAGTGCATGGCTTCACACACCTAATAAGCCAACACAAAGAAGTCTCTGCTTTTCTGCATTGTCCTTATTCCCTTAATGGTTTCTTTTATTCCAGTGGCAACCTAGAAGTAATATATTCTTAATAACCTTCCTGCTTCAAATAAGATTTCTTGGTTTCAGGTGTCCGCAGCAAAAATACTATGAGATTGTTCCACGAACCTCATGAACTACCTTACTTGTCATAACACTCTGTCTAGAAGCCCTCCAACATTTGAAAACTAGTTTCTGTTCTCCTGGTTTAAAACTAAGCAGAAAAATTGTGCCCTTGTCTAAAATCATAACTCTGGCTGGATTCCTATCATTTTTACATAAAAATATGTATGTTAGCCATTACTCACCCTTCTGTGATAAGCTCTTCTTCATTTCTTGTCCACCTGATATACGGGGCTGGAAATCCTACGGCAACACACGGAAAAACCGCACTTTGCCCAGTAACTTTCGTAAGTGAAGAGGGCTGTCTCACAAACATCAAGTTTTGTGGCACCTCTGGATCTGCAAACATTTTGTAAATGACAAAGTTGTTACCAGATGCAGAATCAGAAGATGACCATATTAAAAAGAGCAAAATAAACATCTAATTTCTTTCCTGCATCTTCAGTGGATGGAGTCAGCACCTTACCTACACAAAGGGCCTTCTGTAAGAGACCCTCCCAGCCCCCCACGCAAACAGCTCTTTACCGTTTCCTCCAGACATGCAAACTGTTTTGCCACTGCTGGGAGTCCAACTCCTCAAACTCTCTGGGTAACAAATTTCAGCTAAAAGCTACAACCCTGAGACTGGAACTTCAACCAGCAAGTAGAGATTTAGTAAAGAAAGAAATAGGTTTGACTTGGTCCAGTCAGCCTTGGGCAATCACCTGACTTCAGCAGGTAGCTGCCTGAGAAAGTGCTTTTATGCAATGGAAAATGAAATTAACTGCAGCAGAGCCAACCCTAAGTGAAATAAAATAACTAGATAATTTGCACACTGAAGTATCACAAGCTGTATACTACAACAAAAACATACCATGGTTTTCCATCCTTATGGCAATTATGAATCCTCTGAATTAAATTTTGGTTTTGCTTTGAATTGAGCTGGAGAGGGTTTTGTTTCTCCTCTCCCCTTAAAAACAGGCACAAGCAAAGTGCATGTTTACTCAGCCTTTTACTACAGGAAAAGGCCACTTTGTTTGTGAGAATTGAAACCATACCCACCAACAAAGGCTGTTCAGCAACCCACTCTGAACTAAACTACCATCAATAAATATTCAGAGCAAAAGGCTATTTTTCTACTTTACTAAAAATATTCATGACTTCTCAAAATGCAACTTTAGGAAAAAGGTTCTAAAATAATTTTTCACTAGAACTGTATCCAAGTCACCAAGTGGCTCCAGTAACACCTGGACAGAAGATGCAGGTTGTACTCTTTGTCTCTGGAGTAACTTCAGCGTGTCTTGCACCGTTATTAGAGTGAGTTCCTACACAGCAACTATAGCATTTCTGCTGTGTTAGTTACCATAATCTTTTCTGCCAACTGCTCAAAAAACCCAGTGTTTATGCTGCATTAACTGCCGTATTCTCGATACTCAGATGTGTGCTTACAAGTTCGATGACAAGCAAGCTCCAGAACCGAACAAGCTATTTTTGCCTGCCTAAACGCAGGCAGACTATTCTGTACCTACGCTATTTCTGCTCACCGAAGGCCATTGTGTGCCTATCACACACAGGATCTGGCCCCTGTCTCACCTGGGACCTGTGTGATACCCACAGGAGCTTCTGAACATCATTGGGTTTGGTGTTCTTCAGCTCAAAGCGCTAAAAACAATAAGCAAGCTTTTACAGCACTAAGCTAAGGGCATGCACGTGCTCCAAGGTGGAACACGATGAGTTGCCAGGGTATTCTAGAGAACCTGGCCTGATGGAAATCATGCTTCAGAACTGCCCTCGGCTGAGGGAGCCAAACTTCGAGCGACCCTTGATCACACCATCTGTGTCAGGCCCACACACCAACTATCGGAGCAGCTCTGCCCACGTTCCCTGCTAGAGGGAACTCGTCTGCTTGCTCCAGAAAGACCACCATATGTGAACAGGCGGGTACGCAGCGAGAGTGACCTGGAGTGGCACGTGGAGCAAGCCAAGCTACATAAAATGGATGTAACAGATTGTCAGCAAGCAATCACCACACTAGGGAGACGAGTCAGTACGATTCACTGTAGACGCAACTCGTTAATGCTCCAAGCTCCCAAAACGGAGTTCAGTTCTTTGGTTAGTGAAAACTGGATTCAAAAATTAAGTGATTTCCCCCCCCCTCCATGCATTTCTGTATTTCAAAGCACCTAGCAGAGCTCAGAAAAGTATCTTCCTGCTTGCTTGGTGGCAGATGAAAGGCAGACTGAACGCTGCAAGGGAGCTCACTACCAGAAAAAGCAGAACACCGTCCGTGGATGCAAATCTGTGTGATGCTAGCATGTACTGGGTGCATTTCAAGGATTTTGCAGCAGAGCAATGGGGTCGCTGTCAGGCACACATCAGATAACGATTCAAAAAGGGAATAAAATGAATGAAGAACAGATTAATTCAAATCCTTCTTTCATACATATCTCAGACCAAACAATCAATTACGGGGCCACTCAAGATTAAGAGAGATTTTTGTGCAACAATTTAATCCCACTTTCAAAGGAAAAAAAAGTGCCTGCTGGGAGGGATTTCACAAAACTTCACTGTCAACACTTTCAGACTCACTACCAAGCAACAAAACAGCATTATTTGTATTCCCTAATAGAGTCATATTTAATCACCTTCAGCAAATCATTACAAAAGCAAGAAAACTGTACCTGGAGCCAAAAGAATTTGAAAGAGCAACACAATATGGAATTTTGTAACAAAAACTTCAATTGCCAGAAATCAGAAAAGTCTTTGGCATTCACTTGAGTGGTATAGAGACATGGAGGTAAACCAAACTAGAATAATTCAATTAAGCATCTTTTCCAAAAGTGCTATTCTTCAAAAACCATATCCTGAGTTGAAGAAAAAAGAAGCTTTTCTTTTCAGAAAGGCTAAAGAACTTAATGAAACAAATTCCTACTTCAAGCACAATTAATTTCCAAAGCCTACCAAACATGTGAATTTTAAGAGAGTTGCACTTGTAAAATTGGGGTATTTTAAAGTACATCGTAGCATTTTAAGCAGAAAAGTGACATAGCCATGAGAAACAGAAACGTTCGTTGAAAGGGACCTCTGAAGACGCCCAGTGCAGCCACCTGCTTGAAGTCCACCTGTTGCCAACACTAGGTCAGGCCAACCATGACACTGTCCAGCCCCTGGAAACCTCCGAAGATGGACATTTAGCAACCCTCCCTGGCAGTTCTCCGAGCAGCAAAAATTGAATCAGAATTCCAACCTGAAGACTAATTCAGAAGAGACAGCATGCAGTTCTGGAAATACTTCAGAAAACCGATACAAAGCACCGCCCGTATTTCCCTAGTTTGGGAAAGTGTGATTCACATTCCCGTCTTCTTCTTGGTCCCTTTTCAAAAGCTCGTGTCAGAACATCTGGTGACACACAGCTCTTTGCAGTACTGTCATTCGAAACAGAACACACGAAGTGTAGAAACAGCTTACATCAGGACGGGACTTTCGTTCTTATAAAAAACTTTAAACATTTCAGAACAATAGGCATAGCTGAACCTTTCAAAATGAAAGGTCACACCACCGCCACCACCCCCGCCCCCCTTTCTGGGGGCTGGAGACTTCCTAAAAGGGTCCAACATTTAAAGAATCAGAACTTCCTAAACATAGGACAATTAAAAGTGCCTCACCTGAAGCATCCCAAGAGCGAGGGACTAAGCACCAATTTCTTTTGGAAACTTCAACAGTATTTTAAATATGGGATTCAAGCCCGAGAAACTTGGAAATACCAAATGTTTACACTCAAAGAAACAGCCAATTCCCTCTTTGCACACATCGCAATGGAACCGTATTACTGGGGACCTTTCAACAGAAGTCCTGCGCAAAAAGCTCTTAGAAGCTAAACCATTCATTATAGCAAAAAAGCATGTGCATGTCTCGGGCCTATCTTCAGCCACTGCAAAGAGCTCAGACACTGGTAACTGATTTTGCTTTTCTGTTTCACAAGTGCAAGATATAGGTTAGTATTCCCAATGGCCAAAATCCCTCAGCTTAAGTGCCTGCACCCATTTTAAGCTACACAGAAAAAAAACAAAACCAAAACCAAACCCCTACCACCAGCTTCCACAACACACATCACACATACTTCAACTTCAAATATACAGAAACGCAACAAAGAGGATTCTCACGTGTTCCCCTTTGTAAGTGTTCTTGTGCTGTTTTTTCCTCTATCGCTTGACTAAAGTTTTAATTATTAATTTTTTTTAAAGAAACACAGATTAATACCTGGAAGAATTTTGAGCTCTGCTTCATCACTGTACTTGGGGGTCCCACCACTTTCAATGATGCAGCGATAGAGTCCTCCATCCGTATCAGTGGCATTGCTAATAATTAGAGCTCCACCTGGTAATTTAAATACATGATCATCCAGAAAGACTGGCTGACGATCCTGCTCCCACCTGACAAACGGTGCAAGGTCAACATTGACTTCACAGTTAAGGATTGCACTGTTTCCTTTATAGACAGATGATGATTCTGGCTGACTGGTGAACCTGGGAAGGCCTGCAAGTACAAAAGAGAAAAGTTAGAAAAATAAAAAAACAGAGGCATTCTGAAGATTACACCAAAGCTTTGAAGTCCAAGTCAAGATTCATAAACCTAGTTTTAAAAAAAAAAATTAAGCTGCTCTCTGACTCTTTAAAAATATTAATGCTTGATAGCCCAGTGCTAAACATAGCTGGTGGAAGGGCAGATAAAATCAATAATAAAAGTACTGATTTAAAAACAAAAGTAGTTTTAGAAACAAGCGAACGTCAACAGCAAAACAGAAGTCTTTGGAGTCCTCAAAAATAGGAGGAGACACGCAGATAAAGTCTCACTTCTCCAGTGTTGCTGCTATCCTGAAGGAGTACATAGCACAAAAAGTAGCAAAAATCAAGACAGTCTTTCTGACTGGTGCATCCCAATAAATACAGTTTGAACCATATGCTGTAAGAGCCACCGAGTCGTTGGCAGTGAACACAGATGCCCCCTAGTACTCACCCAGGCGATAGTAACAAGGAGAGGAGAAGGCTTCTTGTATGCCTTCCACTCTCCAGTTTACAGTCTACGCAACATCTTAATTTACTGCCTACAGGACTATTTATGAGGGTTTTTTTTTTCCCCTGGCAACTTGGGAGATTTCTTCTCTTAAAATTGACAAGTATTTTCTATGACTTTGTCCCCAGCCATGTCTAAATGCAGGTTTAGCTTCATCCTAGTTTAACTAGACCATGAAGAGGAGCCCGAGGGTGTTAAAGGACCAATCTCCCTGAAATTCAATGGAAACAGGATATCCCTTTGAAGACTGCAGCTACAAAAAGCCTTACATACACCACCATAAGGTGAAAATTGCATTTATTCATATGCAAGTCTATCTTTCTCATGCTAGTGTACCCGAGAACTGAGTTTCTCCCCAGCATAACACAAAGGTTCCGCTGCCACACCAACCCAGTAGCACTGCACAACAAACGTGCCACCTTCCAAGTAACAATCTTCTCCAGAAACAGCTTCACCTTTGTTTTCGGCGGCCACGTCCCAGTGCTGGCAGCGGGGGAGCTGATTGGGCAGGCCCTGTG